GCATGTGCACGCGAGCACCTGGATCGACACCGCGCTCTTTCGCATTACAAAAAAAAACATGTACAATAAAATAATATAAAACCAAAATGCCCTGCTAGCATCTGCTGCTGCTGGCCGCTATTTTCGTGGTCGCTGAACTGGTCCTGCTGATATTGGCGTAGCGCATACGTTCAGGTTTTACTTTTGCATTTGCAAGTGAGTTTTTTGTTCTAGTATGTAGCCACGTGCTCTAATGCATAATGACGTTTAGTTGAAGGGGAATTTAACTATTTTTTAAAAACAGAACGCCATGCTAATATTTATTCTTTTGTGTGTAATAAGAGGATTGAAAAACGAAGTATTTTGTTATTTACAGACGAACTGTTTCTCTTTTTTATATATTATGATAGTACAGCTAAATTTTGGTTGCTTATATCAGACATTTAATTTTCTTATTAAAAAATAAAAGGAAACAAAACAATACTTCTGATTGGAAGAAATCAGCCATAAGAAAAGAAATGTATCATCAATTAATAGAGTTTATTGTTTGAGAAGAATATATAGACAAAAGATATGAAAGAATTATTAGTGGAAAACAAATCAAATATAATAATATTGGCCTGTGACTTTTAGAAGCGCTCTCAGACTCAATAGAAGGTATATCTATCAATGGAGAAGTTTTGAATAACTTACGTTTTGCAGACGATACAGTAATAATTACGGATAACAACAATGATTTACAGAACGTAATGCAACGCCTTAATGAACGCTGTCATGAGTACGGACTGAAGATAAATTTAAAGAAAACTAAATGCATGATCATGACTAAATCTGCACATGCAAATATCCAATTGACTATTGAAGATACTGCAATGGAGAGTGTTAATAACTATAAATACTTAGGAACATGGATAACATCAGATGTAGACCAAACCAAAGAAATTAAGACACGTATTGAAATAGCACGTACATCATTTATTAAACTTAAAAAGTTTCTTTGTTGTCGGGATATAAGGTTAGAACTACGCCTGAGAATGCTTCGATGTTACGTGTTCTCTACTCTTCTTTATGGTCTGGAAGCTTGGACACTAAAACAAGTTCATCTGAATAAGTTGGCCGCCTTTGAATTTTGGTGTTACAGAAGAATCCTACGAATATCATGGATTCAAAGAATGTCAAACAATGGAAGTAACTAAAAGGATAGGAAATGAGGCGGAAATAATGTTAACTATTAAAAGACGAAAACTTGAGTACTTGGGACATGTGATGAGAGGGCAAAAATACGCATTATTACAACTTATTATGCAGGGCAAAATCCGAGGAAAGCAAAATGTGGGAAGACGAAGAATATCCTGGCTTAAGAACTTAAGGGAATGGTTTCAATGCAGTAGTGCAGAACTTTTTAGAGCGGCAGTCAACAGAGTCCGCATAGCCATGATGATTTCCAACCTTCGATAGAAGATGGAACTTAAAGAAGAAGAAGAAGTGACTTTTAGAGTTTTTGGAATAATAGGAGATGTCATAAGATCAAATCGAAATCTTGGTCTTACATTATAAATATTGTTGACGGAAGTATTCATTAAAGAAGTCCAAATTTTCTTGCGATATCTAGTAAGAAAAAAAGGAACTTATAGGCTTATAGACTTATAGGAACTTATAGGCTATTGTTAGTTGAAACAATAGCTCGTAACAAAAACTTTAACTGTTAAATATGGAATTATTCAGCAATATATTAAAAATATTAATTTTAAATTTAAAAAATTATGATTAATCATAAAAAACAAACAAAATTCTGGAATACAAGACGAAGCTACTGTCAAGTTTGAAATAAGGAACATAATTGGGATAGGTCAAAGTATTACTTAAATAAATTGGACAAAAAGAAAAAAAGAGTGAGGCAAAACTGAAGAAAATAAATATGGAGGAAGTAGAAAAAGCACATGGATATTCAGATAGGAAAATTATGTGGAATAGATTTTATTGTACCTGAAATGGTGGAATTCCTAGGTCATGAGTAAAAAGAACTCCATTTTTTTGTTGAAGAAACAATATCAAGACAATGAGAAGAGAATAAATCATTACCGATCTAAGGAGACCTGGCCGATTCAGAAAACTATATAACCATTTGCCTTTTGACAAAAAGTTTTAAGGTATGTCCATGAGTACTGTAAAAAAGATTAAATTAAGTAATATATAAAAATTTAGAAGATGAATGAGATAGATTTAGAGTTGAGAAAATTCAACAAATAATTACATAAATATTGATAAAAATCATATAGAAAAGATAAAGGATATCTATGTATATATTAGAAATAGAAAATGATGAATCTTAAACTTAAAGGTTGCGTTTGATATGATTATTCATGATACATTTAACAATAAAAAACTCTACAATTAGATAAGATCATCCTTGACGGCTAAAGTTTCCATTCCTCTAATTCAGGCTTTTACTAAAGAATCGAATGATGGCTATCTACCTCCTATTAAGTGTAATCGTGTCGGCGCATTCTTGGTTTAGATGGTTTAACACCAAAACTGTCTGATGATTTCCTGACAGATCGACATTACAAAGGTAGCGTTAGCCAATCTTTCTCACAAGACAGGTTAGTGGAAAGTGGAGTGCCTCAGATTTCTATCCTAGGACCTTTGCTTTTTACGGTTTGTACCAGCGATGTTCCTTCCAAATATATGCCAACGAATCACAAACCAGCTATCCCTCCAAATGAACATGAACTCTATTTTAACTTCAGGTTCCCAGTGGCTGCTACCCTTAAATGCGGAAAAATTTGTAGTGCTTCAGATTGGTAAAAATAATCCACTTGTGCCGTAATTTGTTAACGAACAACCATTAGATTCTGTGTTCTCGTATAAAGACCTTGGTGTTACCGGAACAGCAGCCTAATTTGGATCGACCAGATTACTCTGATTATTTGTCAAAGTGCGAACTCAAGACTATATCTTATTCGGAGGTGTTTTTCGATAGTTTCAATGCAGACATTCTGTCAAGTATACATTTTTTACGTAAGACCGATTCTTGAGTACGCCGGTCCAACGTGGTATCCTGATTTGATTCGAGACAAAACTTGGAAAACGTTCAAAGAAAAGCCACTCGAATTCCTTTGGGACCGAGAAGACCTTCTTATGCAGAAAGACTGACCTAATTTCTTTTGAACTTCGCCGACAACGTGGAGACTTAATTACATTTAAAATATTAAAATTTAATTTCGGAAATCTCTACGAAGTGTTCATCAGTTTAAACTTAAAAAAGAGACTTTTCTCCAAGATCAAGACATATTATAACTTTCTACCAAATAGAGTCTTTGAGAGCTAGAATAAGCTTAGTGAACATTGTCTCTGCTCCGTCTACCAATGCGTTCAAAAACAGACTTGACCGTTTTATATTATAGTTAATATATTGTTTTTCTTTTAAACTAAAAATTGTAATTTGTGTTTTTTTTTTGTAATTTTGTAATTTACTAGTAGGTTACTTACTAATGTAATTTCTTTGTTTTTGGACATAATAGGGACTTCTGCACTTGCTAATGTATAATAATAATAAAATATAGAAATGTCTAGAGCCCATATTATATCATCTAGATGGTTTAAGATCAGACCACTTTGGACAGGAAGCAGGAATCAAACAAGCAGATTGTCGGAGTCCATTTCTTTTCTTCATTATTTAAATGTAAATAATCATAAATACCAGGAAATGTTTACATTCAAAATCAGTTTATATTTTTCTTTCTTTCCTAATCCTGCTGTTGGCGCCTTACTAATCGCAATACGAATTAAATTAAAAATCTTACATATTTAACATTATAAACAATTACCCCATTGTTATTACGTTCAGGTGGAACAAGTTTCACCCTAACAAGAGTACTTGAAAATGCGTATCATATAGGAGCATATCTATCAACGAGATCTACAGCTGTATTTGGGGCACGGAATCTACAGTACTAAACCCGCGTATTTGCAGAGGGTGTAGCGTGATACAATAAATAATTCTACAACTGTTGACCTTTTCTTTAAAAATATAAAGACCGCCAACTATATATCTTTCTCTCTCATATAGAGGTACAGAATATTAATGGGGGCGTGAAGAATGTTTTGGTTGTTAAATTTCTTGTTGAGTCTCTGGTAAATACTCATGTACTAAGCGAAAAAAAAAAAAACGAAAAAGGGAAAATAAGATTTATATTGCATGTTTATACAGTTATTGAATAGCATAGTTCACAGATATCAGTTATTTTGGATTTTTTAAAATACATTTTATTTTTACATATAGAATTTTTGTCAAGTAGAAAATATCTGTTCCATGTGTTGTATAGTAAATTTAAAATAAAAGAAAACATGTGACATAATTTTATCAAACTTAAATATTAGTGGTTAATATTGCACCATTATCACACGAACACTTGTCTACAAAACTGACAACGAAATAACAAACCATTGTCATCAATGGAACGCAATTTGGCAAGAGTGGCTCATCTTTCTTTGGAGTACGTTCAGGTAGACTTCCAAAAAATTTTAAAAAAATCTGTGGCCACAATTTTTTTTCGTCCTGGGCTTTCCAAATAGTTTCATAAATCTTTCGTCAAAATTTTAACATTGAAGGAGCAATTGGGCGATCTATTCCCGAGTTCTTTTAGCATAATGGCACGAAACATCAGACCAAAATATAATTTCGTTGTTGTGATGATGGATATTTAAAATTAAGCACATTCAGTAAACATCTTTGGATATCAAACTTGGTGTCCAACTGAATTAAAATAGTATGGTGGTAAAATCTTGCCCTCAGAACTTTATTTGGGCAGTTTTCCATATTAGAGATGTGAGATTCTTTACCAGAGCTTAAAATATTTCTCATCATCCATTGAAATGACACAGTTCCCCACAAAAAAGTATAGTCTCAACTCATACAAAACTTATGTCCCATTAGTATTAGACTTGTAAAAAAAGCAAGAAGTATAGTTATTTTTTGTTTGGCTACTAAGCAAAGATGTAATAAATTTAACACTTACCGGTATAACAAATCGGGATCAATGTAAGGGCGTGTCGTCGTAAAAGTTGGCTTGCGTGTCCCCATGAGCACCTTTCCAGGACTTGATCGATGTAGTCAAAGCCGGTGATTGCAGATGCGTTCCACTGCAGTTTGGACAATACAAGCAGTTCCCAACTCTGGAAAAATGAATAAGGGATAATATAGAATATATTATCCTGAATAACACTTCAGGATAATATAGTGGCTTTTATAACATATGAACTATCTACAGTTAAATTTGAAAAATATAAATAATTTATATTACAAACAATATAATACAAAAGCAAGAGATGCATAGTGTTTAAATAAAACCAGGAATATGATGACAGATTATATAAAAATTTACTTTATTTTTAAGACCGAACTGGTAGCTTGGCTACAAAAATATCTTCTCTTTTTTTATTCGATGTACAATCCGTAATATTCAGAGTGATTTTATCATTTTTAACTATTAAGAAAATATTTGTTTTCAATAAAAGTCGGAACCCCACGAATTGCGTCACAACGCAACAAATCTGTCCCGTCTCGGGTGGTGGTTTCCCTCCGTCACCGGTCTGGATACTCCCAAAGCGAAGGGAGAGAGTCCATCTCCGCCGTTAAGAGGGTCGGGTCCAGACAAAGGGTTGTCTGTACAATAGAGTCTGTGGGAAATGAAGGAGGAGAAAAAGGTCACTGCCAAGTGTATAACCGCGTCGCAGACGGCACCGCGTCTAGCTTCCGAAGAATAAGAATGGACTAATTGACCCTTTGCGTATGAGTACTCGAATTCTCTTTTTGCAAATTAGTCATTCATAGATGTCTATTATTGTTTTGGCACAGGATAGGGCTCCATAATACTACTGACTACAGTTGTTGTAGTAGAGAGCTACATATTGTTTAGGATGTAGACTGAATTAAAAAAAAAACTGTATTTTTGAAATGTAAATAATATTTTTAAAATTAAATAAAGTAATTGTATTATCTATCTTTTTTTTATTGATTTTAATAAAATAGAAAAAGTTTAGGTACATGTTGTATAAAGGACTCTCCTCGACGCGTAAATGGACTCTTCCAACTGTTTACTGTGTCGTGTCGCTACTTCCGTGAGGCTCGCCTCAGCGTTTTACTGTAGACAAAAATGAATAAAACGCCAGTATGGAAGATTCGCTTCAATAATGTTTATTGTCACCACATGTCACTTGATAGATATAAAAAATATTTAAATAGATGATCATTTTTTACTTTATAACCGCATTTTTCTCCTTTTCAGCTTATAAACGCAGTTTTATACAAAATTAATTCCAATGTGAATTTGTAAACACCTCATTCATCTTATATTCTATGCGCTAATGAATGAGATATCAAGAGTAGCCTTTCTTTGTTTATATTCTCGGGATAACTTCGGAATTCTACCGCTTCACGATTTTTTTTAGAATAGAAGTAGAGATTTATGGAAAGAATATCGTTTTTCACACAATATGCGATGTCCTGTTTCTTCAGAGTTTTCTGTAATTGCAAAATGAGAGAAAATATTAGATATAATGCATCATTGATGTGCTTGTAATGGGGCAAATAATCTCACCAATTGTATAATAAGTGGCCACAGGCAAAATGGATGGGATAATATTATAGTAATGCCATTCCCAATAGCATTATATCTAGGCGTCTATCCATCTTTTACCTATGTCTTCCACGTCTTCCGGTCTCCTGTCATTTCCTTCAGCTGTTGCAATGTTTCTTTTTCTTAATCACGATTTCCTGGATTTCTTCCATCCACTCACCCTTTACTAGAGTTGTCCTTTCTAGATCTTTGCCTGTCTTTTGACCTCATTATTTTCTTTATTAATATATTTTTTTCTTACCACTGAAGACAAAAGGTCTACCTCTACCAGCATAAACAAAGGTCATGTTCAATTTCCCTTATAACCAGCACCGCTCCATTCTGATCAAAATCGGCATTAGCATTACAATTATAAGATCGTTCCCACGTCCAGATAAAACTTCCGGAAAGCTAACTGGTCTGCTTTCTCTAGTAATCTTGAAAAATGCTTAGGTTGGATTCCACAAAAAGCATAAACTACGAGAGATTGACTGGAACAATAATATCATCAGCAAAAGCAACGATTCCAAAGAGTATATTCCTGGATGGTCCGAGGAGAGTGAAAAACTGTATGAAAAATTCTGTGAAGAGCAGGAAATTGCAGCCGAATTACTCCACTACATTGATACCGCTAGGCACGTGAAATTAAGACTGAGACAGTTGAAAATCTAGATTTAAAAAACTCGAGTAGACAAAAGACCTGGCCACTGCTTCGAAAACTAGGAGGCAGTAACCCACCCGACCGTAAAACCAATCTAGAAACACTAAAACAAGTGGCGTTCAACATAATATCTACCTCAAGAGCACCCCAAAACCGCTTACACACAATTAAAGTCCTCAAAAACTTGTCCACTTGAAACAGAGTATTCCAACCCTTTCACCTGTGAAGAAATCAAGGAAGCTCTTAATGAAATGAAAACGATTAAAGTCACTGGCTTTGATACCATTTATGCTGAGTTTCTAAAGCAAAGTGGCAGATTTACTAGGCAATGGCCTAGTAAATGGTCATCAACCAAAAAGAGCATTAATCGTAGCCATTTTAAAACCAGGGAAAGTCAACAATTCACCAAAACATTATCGTCCAATTGCATTTCTAAGTATGGTTTACAAACTTTTTGAAAGAATGCAATAAACTTAGGCAAACAATACTCCAACATATACTTGTGGAACAAGCAGGATTTGGACCAAACCGCAGCTGCACAGACCAACCTAAATTGTTTATTTTTCTTTTGATATTACAAAATGATTTTGAAGTAAAAAATTAATGAAGGGAACAAAACAATAAAAAAGCATAAGCAGTAGGTCACAAATAATGTTCCTTTTGAATAACGATTAAATTAGTCGTTGCGAAATAAATTATAATGCCGAAAAAAGCATAAAATAAAAAAAGGACTTGGTAAGCGAAAATTTTGACGTTAAGGCAGAGCATTCAAATAAAAAAATATTGATGTAACAATGTTAGATACAATGTACCATCACGAGATCACAAAAATTAATAAACAGATACAATAGAGTATCTAAGTATTGAATCTAACGAAAGATTTAGCCGAAAACCGAAGTTACAACCCTCAATGTCCTCTTTATTGCGAGTAATAAGTTATGTCATTTACCCCAAATTAAATAGTTTCTTATTTGGACCAAGAGACATTTATTTGTGCCAAATTTCAAGACTTTACCACTTCAAGAATTATCGCAAAGTTCAATTGAAAACTATAAAGAAACAAATAAGAAGTTACATCTCATATCAAAATGCTTTACTCCAAAATAAATTTACAATAAAAAACTAAGATGTATAAGTTTTAATATGTCTTACAGAGACTGCAACATGATAATCAAGTCTTTCGATTAATACCCTGATCGAAATTTCGACATGATAGCTGAGTCCGGCCCTACAAGTTTGCGAATAGACATAATAGATCACCCTATTATTCCTTGGAGGGAAATTCTCCTAGACAAGATGAATTTCATTCGGTTACTGTAACAGTCTGTGCTTCTATGAAAACAAAATTACCATATTAATATGAAAATGATTCTTCGGAAAGAATAGGAAACGGAATATCGGCATGGACTTTTTAATAGGGTTAGAGAAATTTCGTTAGTGAGATTGTAGTTTTGCCAGAACAAGATATATGCCCTCGTAATTTTTCATAACAATGGCTACATGATAAATAGTTAACCGATGATAATAAATATAAAGGTGGTTAGTAAGTTGCGAATTATTTTATTGGACAGCCCTTGCTTTGACATCGTTTTTTTTTGTGGTTTCGAGCCCGTATAAATAAACTGGATTTTTAAATATATTTATTAAACTACAAATGAAATAATCGAATTAGAATACAAAGGACGTTCATTAAAAAACCTTACAAAAAAAACAGTTATAGCAGAGCACCTAGGAAAAACAATTATTAACATTTCATACTCTTCTGGGGAACTTTTTGAAACGAATACAAATTCTGAATGATTGAATGAAAACTCGATGAGGAGTTTTGCAAACAATTTAGCTGTAAAATACGAAAATGGTTAAGTAAAGAACGAATCACAACTTAAATGATAATAGAGAAAACTAGTCGATTTGAAATATATTTAAACAACTTCAAGGGCAAAGGTTTTAGTTTTTTCTTGACTTAGTATTCTGAAACTCTCGCTTATGTGTTTTGCTACATATCAATTTGCATTACCAGACACTTATTATACTGGCGAAGAAAAAATCTTTGATTACCACATTTCACCACCCGCTCGAATAATATTACAACATATATATTTCTATTTTCTACCAACGATCAAATCAGAAAGATATACATCTTCTAATTTAATTACAACATACGACAAAATGACATGTAATTATTATGTCCCCTTAATATTATATTGAATGTAGGGTTAAAATGTTGTTATTTTAGTGGTTTTATCTATAGCGATTTTCGTGATGCGACATCATTAATGATCTGTGCGACCTGAATAACATCGCATTCCCATCATTAGCGGTTTGGTTTTCAGATGACAAAGAGGAAATTGATGAGTACGCGTAATTAGAGAAAAATGGCAAATTTAAGACGCAAAATGTGAAGAGTTTTATCTCCTGAGTTATTGATTGGAAAAATGTTCCCGCATGATATAAACTGATATTAAAATCAAGAATTCCTTAGAATTGGATATTTTTAACATATTTTTGATTTGTAATGTCGAGTATTTGATACTGAGTAAAAAGATTTGAAGATTTACGGCTTTGGTAAATGGTGATTTTTTTAAATTATAAAGGGTAAGTATATCAAATATATAATATATATAAAATTTTTTTAAATTAAATGTGTCAAAACTGGTGTCAATCAGAAGTTTTTAACATATTACTAAAAAATGGTTTGTTTACTGTTTGAAAAGTTTGCTGTTGAAAGTCCTGATAAGAAATTTATATCAACCATTGTTAATTATATATACAAGAAGGGAATTTATTAATACGATGAAGTCAAATTCGTCAATTTAAGTTACTAGCGCAGGAAAATTAAGATGCATCATGAGCATTAATGCAAAAAAATGTTAGTATGTTTGATAAAAAATCAGATA